AAAAAAGGGAAAAGAAAAAATATGAGAAAAGGAAAAAAATGGAAACAAAGTCTTTGCAAATAGGGAAGGGTGGAGGGGCTGAAGGGAGGGCAAGGGAAGGGGAAAAAAATAAGAACCAAGATACTCATGTAATGGTAGTACAAGATCCCAATGATGAATGTAACTGTATTTTACACCTAGAATGTACCAATAAACTTAATGGGGAAAAAAAAAAAAAGGTATCATAGAACAAAGGCTGCTTTGGTGCTTTGGCTCCACCCTAATGAAGCCCAAGACAAGTCTGGAAAGAATAAAAACTAGTTCAAATAATTTATCAGCAATACAGAACAAAGTCAAAAACAAAATTTTTTAACTGGCATCTGATTAGGAATTACTAGGCATCAAACAAGATACAACAAATTATCAAAAATATCACACATCATCACCAAGCAGGCTTCATCCCAAGGATGCAAAGATGGCTCAACATATGCAAGCCAATAAATGTAATAAATATATAAACAGAAGCAAGGACAAAAATCACATTATCAATTCATTAGATGCAGAAAAAGCCTTTGAAAGAATCCAACATCTATTCATTATAAAAACACTGAAAATGGGTATAGAAGGACCTTATCTCAATCTGATAAAAGCCATTTATGACAAACCTACTGCCAACATCATATTAAATGAGGAAAAACTAAAGGCTTTCCCTCCAAAATCAGGAATAAGACAAGGATGTTCACTATCAGCACTCTTGTCCAATATAGTTCTCAAATCATTAGCCAGAGCAATCAGAGAAGAGAAAGAAATAAGAGATCTGTACAGGAAAGGAAGAAATGAAATTATCATTATTTGCAGATATGATCCTCTACATAGAAGGCCCACCCAAAAATCCCACTAAAAGACTCCTAGACTTAATAACCAAATTCAACAAGGTAGAAGGATATAAAATCAAAACACAAAAATCAATAGCATTCCTGTACACCAGTAATGAATTCACTGAGAAAGAAATTGTGAAAAAATACCATTCACAATAGCATCAAGAAAAATTAAATACTTAGGAATTAATCTAAGGAAGTAAAAGACTTCTATGATGAAAATCACAGTATTCTGAAAAAGGAGACAGAAGATATCAGAAAATAAAGGTATCTCCTGTTCCTAAAGAGACAGAACCAATACAGTCAAAATACCCATACCTCCAAAACTGATACACAGATTTAATGCAATCACAATCAAAATACCAACAGCATTCCTCACAGAAAACAATCCTAAAATTCATATAGAACCAGAAGAGACTCAGAATAACAAAAGCAATCCTGGGAAACAAGAGCAAAGGAGGAGCCATCACAATCCCAGATTTTAAGTTATATTACAAAGCTACAATGATAAAAAGAGAATAGTATTAGTACAAAAATAGAAATGCGGATCAATGAAACAGAATAGAGGATAGAGAAACAACAACAGGTGCATTCATCTATTTGATCTTTGATGTTTACAACAGGTCTGTATCACTGTCTGCCTGAAATGTGCCTCCTGGGCCTCCCTTTCCTCCTCCCCCTAGTGCATGCTTCACTCATGCAGCCTGCTTTATTTTCCCTACTTGCAGCATCAAGTGGCCACTGGCACTGCAGCTTTGTGACTCTTTATATTATTAAAAAATTGCTTTTATTGCACCATTTTTAATTTGGAGCACTAACTGTACACAAATACAAGAGTTCTATGGAAAAAAAGATAATTAATTGACTGTTTAAAGTAAAATAAATGTGCTGTGTATGTAGACGTTTAAACATATGTAGAAGTAAAATGCATGACAAAAATACAACAAAAGATGTGAGAAAGGAATGGAAATATGGTATTTTATGATTTTTACACAATACATGAAACATAATTCATTTAAAAGTAGATTGGTAAGTTTAAAATGCATAGTGTAGTTGGGCGTGGTGGCACAGACCTATAATCTCAGCACTTGGCAGACTGAGGCAGGAGGTTCAATGTAAGTTCAAGACCAGCCTGGACTACATAGTGAGTTTGAGGCCAGCCTGGACTACATAACAAGTCCTTGTCTCAAAAAAAGAAAATGAATAGGGTAAAACATAGAGTAACCATGAAGTAAATTAAAGTAACAAAAGGATATACAATAATCAATTGTGACAATGAAAGGGTATTATGAAATACATCTGTTCTTCAACCTCACTGGCAACTTTTGCCCACTGATCCTTCTACTTAGCTCCATTCTTCTCTAATTTTACTTCCCTTTACCATTCAGGCTAGGACCTACAGTCTACAACCTAGAGTCATTTCAACCATTCTATTGCATAAAATGTAAACATCCTTGTTTATCATTCTGTCCAACTTAACTGGCCAAGTATCAACTCTGGACAAATTCAACTATTTGGCTTTCAGGGCCTATATTAAGCCCAAAAGAGAAAAAGAAGTTTCATGATCAACTCATACAGCAATTCCGTGTTACCAAACTACTTAGCACCTCAACAGCACTAACCAATATGACCACCCTCCTTAGTCAGCAACCTTTCCCATTTTCAGGAATTAGGAAATCCTTCTAATTTTTCTACTCTGGCCACCCTTGCCCTCTGAATTTAGATATGTTCTAGCCTATGACAAAAAAAGACTTCCTGGGCCGGGGATTTAGCTCAGTGGTTCCGTCGCCTGCCTCACAAGCGCAAGGTCCCGAGTTAGATCCTTGGTACTAAAAAAAAAAAAAAAGACTTCTTTCAGTCCCCGGGGCGTCCCTATAGACCAACATGCTCTCTCTTCTCCTTTCCTTACTTTCTTACTGAAGCAGTATCCACACTAGAAGCCAGGCAATTTTTCCTATTTGTTACTACTGTTCACTTTTATATCAATGTTAGTTTTGCCCATTAAACTTTGCTCTGTGAAGGCAAAATAGAAAACTCAAGTTTGTACAAACTTGTGAAATTAGACTGAGGACTTTATTGTGAGTCCTTAAAGGACAGTGAGTAAAACTTACATTTTATTTTAAACTTTTGTTATGAAAATTTTACAGCGCACAAGAGTAGAATACATACGTGGCTAACCTCATGTACCCATCATGCAGCTTCAACAATTACCAACTACTTGGCAATTTCATCTATCCCCACTTCCCATAACCTCAACAGAATGTTTTATAAAAAATCTAATAAGAGAATATATCATCTCATTTGTAAATATTTCAGTACATCCCTAGAAAATTAGTTACTTTAAAATTAATTTAATGTATTATTATTGTAATATCCTGGAAATATAATGATTCTTTAACATCTATTATCCATATCCATTTCCAGCTATTTAAAAATTATTTATGGTTGATTTAAGTCAGGATCCAAAACGGGACCTCATACTACACAATCACCTAAGTGTATCTTTTAAAAATCTCTAATAGTTACTATCTCTTCCTCCACCCCAGCTGCTTTTAATGCTAATTACTATTCAAGGAATAAGATTATTTGTCCTCAAGAAATTATCACATTCTGTATCATCTGTTGCCTTATGTTGTTCTTTAACATGTTTCTCTAGCCCCCACATTTCTCATACCATAATCTCTTTTGCCTTTTCTTTGTTTTTTTGAGACAGGATTTCACTACGTAGCTCAGGCTGGTCTTGAACTCACTACGTAGTCCAGGCTGGCCTCAAACTGGAGATCCTCCTGCCTCAGCCTCCTGAGTGCTGAAACTACAGGCATGCGCCACCACACCCAGTGTCCTTTCTCATTAGCTATGATCTTCTATATTCTCCCAACTTTCTCGTATTAAAATAACAAGTCCCACATCCGTCAACTAATGAGTGGATAAAATATGTCATTTCCATACAATGGAGTATTATTCAACCTCAAAAAGAAATGAAGTACTCATAAGCTGTGATATGGATCAACTTTGAAGACATTATGCTAAGTCAAAGAAACCTGTTAAAAAGACCACATTATATAATTCTATTTATATGAAAAATCTATCAGCATTCTGGCTAGAATAGGCAAATCCAGACAGACAGATAGACTGGTGCTTGCATAGGGACATAGGTCGTGGTACTGAGGAGCAAAAGGAAAAAGTAGTTTCTTTTGGAGGTGATAAAAATGTTCCAAAACTAGCTTGGGAGAAGTGTCACACACTTGTAAATCCAGCCACTCAGGACCCTAAGGCAGGAAGACTACAAGTTTGAAGCCAGCTTGGACAAATGTAGCTCAGTGATAGAATACTTGTCTAGCATGTGTGAAGTCCTAGGTTCAAGCCCCTGTACTAAAAACAAAAAAGTACCTTTTTGAGTGTCTATCTAGACTGATATGATAACATCCTCATAGTTTCTTGTTAACGTCAGTGGTTAAGTGCTCCCTTAGCATCTGTGAAGCTCTGGGTTTGACACCCAGCACCACAAAGAAACAAATGGTCATGACTGGGTGTAGTGGTGCACACCTATAGGCTAAGCTACTTGGGAGGCTGAGGTGGTGAGCCTGAGCAACAGTGAGAACTCCATCTTGAAAGTAAAACGAGCTGGGCGTGATGGCAGATACCTGTAATCTCATCTTCTTGGGAGGCTAAGGCAAGAGAATCACAAGTTCAAGGCTAGCCTAGGCAACTTAGCAAGACCCTGTCACAAAATAAGAAAAGAGCTATGGATGGAGCTTAGCACTCCTTGGGCTCAATCCATAGTATCACAAAAAACAAACAAACAAAAATAGATTATCTTATTAACTAAAAATACAAAGTAAAAGATTCCACGTATGTAGTATGCTACCATTTATGTTACAGAATAAAAACAATGTGGCTTGCTACCATTTGAATATATATAGACTATTCATGTACTATAGTTTCTGTATGTTTGTATACACACAAATACAGACTATTATTTGGTCTGGTCTCTTAATGTCATCCAGTACATTTTCAAATTTTTCTTAATTGCAAAATTAAAACACCGAGACTGAAAATCCTAAAGGCAACTTACAAGCAAAGCTGAGTGGACAACAGAGGGGTTGGGATGGTCCATAAATAAAATAAGGCCAGGCAGACATCCTTGATCCTGGACAATAGCTCTTCTATTTAATGGATCTGCTGCTAGATCCCGAAGCTGGTTAACTACTGACAGAGCATCAGGTTCTTCATTCATCGTGGAGGAGGAAGAATTCATCTTCTATGTCATACACATGAATAAAATCTTCTTAAATTCTGTAGAAAAGGTTTTCAAAATTAACTCTAAGCCACTAAGGTTAATTAGTGCACTTGTTAAGTAACCAGGATTATAACATCTTTAGCAAGAAACAGATGAATCTAACTGAAACACACACACAAAAAAGAGAGAATTGGCAATTCCATAGTTTGAGAAAAATAAAATGAACATAAGAAGCTGACTGAAGAAACCAAGTTATTTTTGTGAGCACAATGTTTAAAGAACATATGTCATCCTCAATATTCCAATAAATTATTTTAGCAATACATATTTTAACACTAAAATCACAATAAACAAGATCTTTACAGTTCAAGCTTGTAACCTTTGCTATACTTTTCAAACTGTAACACTGCCAGAGCTTTTCTCCCCCTGGAACATTTCTGGTCCTAAATCAAGTGCCTCAGGGAAAACTGACTAACTGATAGCTTGCTTTATTTTCTCTCTCTCTCTCTCTCTAGTCCTTATTCATCTAGGAACAACAACAACAACAAAAACACAGCATACTAGGTCTAAAAAAGATAAAATTCCCTAAGAAAAAGGCATCAAAGAAGGCTATAAACAAGCCCAGAAACCATGTAGCCCATGCCTGGTCCCAGCAATTTAGGATATTACAGTGAATCCAAACTGAATCTGACATATCTGTCCATCTCTGTCTCATCTTCTTCTGCCTATTAGAAAAGCAACAGGAAGGAGGAAGTAGAATTTGAAGTCATTCATCTAGCAGATGAAGTTAATTAATTTGTCCCAAGTCACCAAGTTAGTTGGTAGAACTGGGCTGAAATCTTATTTACTATTTCCTAATAGTAAACTTTCAGCAGTCTTTCTACTTTCAATTCTGTCCTTATAAATTCAGCCTTTCTTCCATAAAAGTAAACAAAGTATTTTATGTTAGACATAAAAAGCCAAAGAAATAAAATATCAAAGAATAATGTTCATTAATACAGAAAGCTAAAAACAGCAACTTTATCCAAATCACATAGTATATTTCTCACTGGGAAAAATATAAAGGTGTATATACTTTTCACAAATGAATGTGTTTAATGTTAATTTCAATAACAATGCCAACTGTCAGGACTATAGCAGAAAAAAATTACTCTCTTAAGTTCAGAAAGATCTTTGGTTAAAGTTCTTGTCAAGGAAAAAGATAATAAAACAGAAATGGTCTTACCATGTACTGAAATATTCAAAGTTATGGGAATAAAGGAGTAGTACTAATGGGAGAAAGGGAGAGATAAGGCAGTTCTCTCAAGAAAGTTACTCATAAGAAAGCTACCAACTAAGTTAGACCTAGGCTCTATCACTTGAAAACTGTGACTTTAGGCAAATCCCTTAAGCTCTTTGTATTAGTTTCTTCATCTGTAAAATGGTACCAAGTAGCTTATTGTCCAGATGAAATGACAATAAAGAGCTTAGACTAGTGGCTAGCACAAAGTAAATGCTCAACACATGATAGTTTTAAATTACATGGTATCAAAAAAAAATCAATGCAAAAAGTTAAGATTATTTGATAAGTAGTATTAAGATAACTTTTTAGAATTTTCTATTAACTGTCTTATAACTGGCTCAAACTAGGATCTGCCTAAGAAAAGGCTGGGAATACCAAGAGTCATCAAAGAACCTAACATAATAGGGAAACCTGTGGTCAAATGCCACATTTCCTAAGAGGCTTAAAGGAAGGCAAGAAAGGCAGGCAGAAGCTATGAATGATTTGTCCCTGAAATTAGGGAGATTTTGTATAAACCTTCAGAAGAGAACTCACTGTTAATTTATCTTTTTTTTTTTTTTTTTTGAGACAGGGTCTCACTTTGTAGTTCAGGCTGGCCCTGAACTCACTATGTAGCCCAGGCTGGCCTTGAACTCGCAGTGATCCTCCTGCCTCAGCCTCCCGAATGCTGGGATTACAGGCATGTGCCACCACACCTGGCTGAAAACTCACTGTTAAGAGATAATTTTTATTTTCTAATTTTAACATTTTTGATAATATTAAATTACTCTGACATTCTTTTCTAATTACATCACCTGAATCTTGTTAAATGATCAGTATCTCTTTGGACTGTGAAGTTTACATGGCTAATTTTATAAAAGCAAGCTATGGAAGAGTTAAAATGGAAACAGGTAAGCCAAAATTAGCACTTTAACCCCAATTTATGTATTACATATGTTTTGTGTTAATTCTATTAGTTTCATTCAAACACTCAAATTGATAGAAATGTCTGCCTTCAAAGGCTGGAAAATGGCTTTAAATGATTACTTCAGAATTCATTCATCCTACCCCCTCTAATCCCAATCTGTTAGACCTCAAAATACTTTTAAACAACCTGAAATGCTGATATGACGAATTCTATAGAACCAATGAATCATAATGTATTAAAAAAAAAACATTCTCCTCCCTTCTACATTATGCTCAAGAGCAAATAAATTTGTTTTCTAACTGTGTTTTTATTGAAAACACTAATGTCAAGAAAAAAAAAGAATAGAAGGAAAATATGAAAACAGGGCTTTTGTAAATATGGAGGGGAAAAGAAGTTGAAGGGAGGGGAGGGGAATGGGAGAAAAAGAAGCAAGATACATCATGTACAGGTACAAATTCCCTATGATGAATGTTATCATTACATACATCCAGAATATACCGATTAAAAAAATGCAAAAGCAACAACAACAAAAAACTGTGGACCTGGACAGCCTACATTAGAAAAAACTGTGATTATTATTAAAATGCAAATTCCTAAGCACTAGCCCAGACCTAAATAAGAATCTTTGCAGATAGGGCCCAAGACTTATTTTAGTAAGTACATCAGATGATTTCTGGTGAAAATAAGACATTAAAACTCTAAAAGAGATTTTCTTTACTCACTGAGCAACACAAAATTATGTTATTTCGAGTTAAGTTTCAGTTTTACTACCAGATAACATAATTAATGAGCTTAACCCCCCCAAAAGCATTAGCAAATCTACCCTTTCCTTTCAAAGAAACTAAATGGAACAAAATTTTGGGGTGATATTACAAGAGGAAACCAGACTTTACACAGATTATGTGGGTAAATATAAGACTCTTGAAATTATATTTAATTGTCACCATTAGTATTTATCACTTGTCTCAATCTGCTTTTTACTTTTAAAATCAGCACCTGAAATGCATGCCTATAATCCCAGCACTCTCAGGGGTTGAAGTAAGAGGATAGAAAATTCACAACCAGCCTGAGCAACTCAACAACTCAGGAAGACTCAATCTTCAAATTTATTTTTCCAATCTTAAATTTTAAAATGAGGTGCCAAGGGGAGAGGCTCGGGATGCAGCTCAGTGTATTTTTGGCTACTATACTAAAATTGCCACTATAGAAACAACTTAATTTTTAAAAAAATCAGAGCCTTACTAGAAAATGATGAAATTGTGAAATAAACTTTTTCCTTGTTTTTCCACATTCCAAGCTTTTGAGAACACAAGTGAATATATACTGTAAGCCTTTATTTTCTCTTTTATTTAGTTCATTTTGGAAAAGCAAATCATTAAGACAATGAATGCTCCCTAAAGTTTAATAGCCACTCTGATCACCTTAGGGAACTTGTCAAAAAATAAACTTATTCAGTACGTGGAGCAGAGCCTGAGATTCTGCATTTTCAACAAGATTACAAGTGCTGCTTGTCAGGGAGTCACACTTCTAGAAGCAAGGAGTTAAAATACATATAAGGCACCTTGTGGGTGGGCAGGTAACTGAAAGATTTCTTTCAGCCAAGATCCACCAATCGACTCAGAATTATTTAGCTCTTACATACTGAAAACTGTGGAGAATAGACACATAATCTAAATCCTTATTCATTTATGGTTGTTTTTAAAAAAATAAACACTGAGATGGATCTGGCTTTCTCCTTATTAGCAACTAACCTTACTTCGAGAAGTTGAGCTATCTCCTGAGAGCCTAAGGTTCTTGACGTAACAATCAAGCAAATTTTAGGATTAAAGAAAATTAGAACGCGAGATGATAAAAGAGAATGCTGACAATTACTAGACTTTAATCTGCGGTGACTTCTGTTCTCACTGAGTTGTTGGGGGGTAGTATCATGAAACTAGCAGCACAAATGCTCCCAATAATAGAGATGTGAACACCAGTCTCTCTTGAAGTAAGCCAAACAACCATATCTTTCTGTCTCCTTAAGAGATGAGCAGGTGCATAAAACTAACAGAAAGTCACCAAAGAACAACCTGGAGAGAGGAAAAAAAGAGGTAAAATTACATCCATTATTAATAATCCTAGGGCTGGTAGAAGATGAAGGCTGGGGTGAGGGAGAAGAAGACAGCATTTCCACAGAACACATGGGAGCATGACGTTTTAAACTGCCTCGGTAAAACACGCTGCAGAGTCCTGAAGGGAAGGCAGGACTACCGCCTAGGTGCAGGGGCCACTTTCCGCGGCCTTCCCGGCTTTATCGCTTTGTCTGCCGCCCCTAGACCCTACCTACCGCTCCAGAGATTTAGGAGTCCAGAGCTTGCCGTACCATCAGGGCCACATCTACAGATAAGGTAGAAGGACCTAGACAGCGCGAAGCAAGCCTTTCGGTTCGCAGCCGCGGCCTGAGCAATCACAAACAACCAAACCCACTGAAGAAGCCAAAAAAGGCGCTGGCGGGGAAGGCTCCGCAGACTCTCTCCTAGTGATCCTGTCACCTCTGTCAGTTCTATTCCTCCATTGGCTGAGGATGAGGCCAACACGAGGAAAAGTGTCCAATCAATGAAGGCTTTCTTAAAGTAAATCATTCATTGGTGAACTAGGGAAATGCATTGAGCGATCAATGGTCGGGCCCAATGAGGACCCAGAACACTGGACTGAACCTAATGATTCTCCGTCCCCTTTGATTTTGGCGGAGAAACTGTCGGGCTTCTCGACTACAATTCCCAGCATTCAGCGGCAGGAGGACTCGCCTCTTCTGTGTTCAGGAGTTCAAATGCAACATTACTTCTTTAGCAACTCTTCTCATTTATAATAATTCAATTTCATAATATTTGCTCCGCCTTCTTGGGCCCTAATTCGAAATCTCAAAAACTGTTTTTTTCTATTTCGTTCATTTACTGTTGGTGAACTGTTTTGTTTGAAGTAATTTTTTTTTGGAAAGAGTTTTTTTTACTTATAGGGGACTTCTGATTAAGTACACAATCCCTGGTACTTCCCACCCGGGTGCAACAGGAATTGAACTCAGGACTTGACCCTTGTCAGGCAGGCGCGGTGCAGATGAGCTACATCCCCGGTAAATACATGCTTTTAAGGTCTTTTCTTATTTTTGGTTTTTTTTTTCACCCCAGTACCGGGGATTGAACTCGGGACTTTGCCCTTGCCAGGCAAGCGCGGCGCCAAACAGCTACATCCCCTGACCCTAAACAGATTTTTGATTGACTTTCACAATTTGATTCTGCTATAGAGCTCATATATTAAAGTTAGACAAAATTTAAAAGGTCTCGAATGGAGAAAATGTGGATGAGAATAAAAATCCTGGATCATATGCTATATTAATATGTCCCATACTTTTATTGTAAGTGAATTTTTTAAAACAGTTACTTGTACTTGAGTTTACTTGTGTTCCCTTGTTGTTGGTTATTCTCTTGTAATAAACTCAACAATAGCAAAGTAATGTTCTCTTTCACACTGGTCTCTTTCACACCATTTGACCTAGAGCAAAAACAAGTCTGGGATGGTTTCTCTTTCACAAAGCTACAAAGGGGAGTGGTGGTAGGCAAACTCTAAGTTTAAATTTTAAAAAGATGGATACAGACTAATGAACTTCTGCAATGGAGAAAAAGAAAGAAAAAGACTCAGAAAGAAGGAATTGTAAATGCAGAAAGCTGCAAAAAAAAAAAAAAGTAAATATAGTTAGTCCAAAGGGCATAACTAGATTAAACATAAGCCATTTGGTTGAGTAAATGATAATTTGTTCAATATTATTATCAAAACAAAATAACAGGAAAGTTTGTTGTTTTGCTAAGATTAATTTCCTTTTTGTTTTTTTTTTTTGGAGACAGGGTCTCGCCATGTAGTTCAGGCTAGTCTTGAATTCACTTTATAGCCCAGCTGGCCTTGAACTCATGGTGATCCTGCTGCCTCAGCTTCACAAGGAAATTAATCTCAGAAAAAAAACCCCAACACTTTCTTGTGTTCCTGAGTGAGACCTTGTCTCAAAAAAAGAAATAACAAGCAAAAGATGTATACACACACAATGACATTTCCTACGCACCTGTGCATTACAAGCCTTAGGGAAGTCTTTAAGGTTTTGAGAATCCATATCCTCATACAAAAAGTGTTTGGACTTGACACTAATGAAGTTGTACAACCTATCATGATGAGTCACTGCTAGTTCTTAGCTTTGGATGTCTTACCACAGGACATGGCTGGAATGTCAAGTTTCTCAATAGTTGTGTTGTGTAAGTCACAGGATACTGTGCCAGATACTGGCAGCTTCATTTGTTCAGTTGTTTAACAAACATTTTTTGAAGATATACCTTGTGCAGGAGACAGCTAAGCTAAGGATTCAAAGATAAGGAAAGACTTAATCCTTAACCTCAAAAAGCTCACATCCTAAGGAGCTCAAGAAGCTGTGGTTTCTGAAACTGTTTGATCAACCAGCACTTAAAAACATTTTCATGAATATGCAGCTCTGACAATGTGTATTTATGTATTCATAAATTCTACATGTATTATGAACCATGTATTTTAAAAGATGACAAAATCTAAATATATATATTTAAAAGCCTGGACATGGTAATGAACACTTTTAATACCAGGACACAGCAAGGTGTGGTGGTGTATGCCCATAATCTCAGAACTTGGGAGGCTGAGCAGTAGGATTGCCAGATGTTGGGGGCCAGCCTGGGCTACACAGTTGGTTCAAGGCTAGGCTGGACAACAAAAGTAAAACCCTGTATCAAAAAAAAAAAAAAAAAGAAGAAGAAAAAAAGAGACACAAAGAGCAAAAAAAGAAAAAGAAAAAATAATACCAGCACACAGGAGAAAAAACAGGAGGGTCTTGAGTTTCAGGCCAGGCTGGACTACATAGTTAGACCTGTCTATAAATAAATAAATAAATAAATAAAAAATAATTAAAATGGAAACTCTGGCTATTTATCTGGATGAAAATAAAATTGGATTTATACATTATATTATTTACTATAAAAATAAATTCCAGATTAAAAAAACTTTTTAAAAAAATAAAAACTCTCGAAGATTACACATACAACTTAGAGGGGAGGGGCTTAAGACTGGAAACCTAGAAGTTAAAAAAGAAAGAAATGGACATACTTGACTTGTTTTTAAAAGTACAGTGGTAAAGTGCTTGTGTAGCATATGTAAAGCACTGGGTTCAGTCACCACCAGCACTATAAAAAAGTAATTTCTTAATATGACAAAAATACATAAGCAAGGTCAATAAGTCTGAGGGTAAATTGTCAACCCAGTGGGCAGATAGAGGGTAATGACAAGAAGGAAATAACCAACCATATAGAAATTGCACAAAGAATATAAATTGACATTTTACAGAGAGAAAAGCCACGTGGCCAATAAACATGAAAAGACATGTCAACTCACTCACAAAAATTAATATAACAATAGGAATAATCACTTGATGCTGATCAGACTGCAAAAATCAAAATAATATAACATTGACAAGAATGATAGGTAGGAAGTGGGCTCTCACATATTTTCTATGGAAATGTAAATTATCACGGCATTTTACAGAGCAACCCAACAAAATCTAATCTAAAAAATATTACATTTAAAGGTCTAAAGGAGTAGGGGAAGTCAGGGGGGTAAGGGAAAGGAAAGAAGGGAAAAGAAAAAATCTGAAGGAAAAAAATGGAAACAAAGTCTTTGTGAATAGGGAAGGGTGGAGGGGGTGAAAGGAGAGCAAGGGAATGGGGAAAATACAAGAACCAAGATCATATAAAGGTACAAGATCCCAATGATGAGTGTAACTGTATTGTATACCTAAAATGTAACAATAAACTTAATGGAAAACATATTACATTTGACCCAACAATAGGAACCTCAAGAATCTAAATCATAGAAATAAAAATCAGCATACAAAAATACAAAACCGGTATTTTGGGGGTTTTTTGGGGGAAGGTTTTGTTTCTTCTATTTTTATTTTTTAAGACAATACTGTAGCACTGTTCACAATGTTAAACAAAAACCACATCTAATAAATTAATCAATGGTACACTCTTAGGAAACCATGGTATATCTACAGGCTATGTACCATTGTAGAACTATTAGTAAAAAATAGAGCTTTAGAAAAGAACTTGGAGAATTTCTACATTAACTAATACAAGTAAAGTGGTTAAAAAGTATACCTATTATGATCCCATTTTAAAAATCCATAACAAATCAAATCTTAAACATGTTAATAGAAGTATGTAAGTTTAGATTTTATTATATGAGCATGGAAAAGATACGAAAAGAGAAGCCATATTTTCAGCTGATATGAGTACGACAAGATCTGGAAAACAAGAATCAATCACACAAAAAAAGATGAAATTCACTGGAGAAGGGGATGTGTAAAAACATAGTTTATATATAACATTAGTTGGCATTAAGTAAAATCATACACATAGTTTTTTTTTTTTACTTGTGGTGCTAGGAATCGAACCCAAGTCTTTGTACATGTCAGACAAGTGCCATACCACTTGGCTATAACCCAACCTTAAAATCATATAAGTAAATGTAATAAAATACATTCAATAGGGCCGGGGATTTAGCTCAGTGGTTCCGATGCCTGCCTCACAAGCACAAGGTCCTGAGTTCGATCCCCAGTCCCCCCCCACC